AAACTAGAATATTTTAGCTTGAAAAAAGTATATATATACTTTGCAGAAAAATTCAGAAGTTGACTAATATTTGATTACTATTTAAGAGAAATACCTGTGGATACCAAAATAAAATAAATACCTAAACATTTCTTGCAATGTTGTTCTTATTGCCATGTGTCTATTTATCAACAGTTCACTAAAGTCTTCATTATTATACCACAGTTTTATGAAACGATGATTATTGACCACAGTATGAATTAAGACTTTATATTCGTTGTACCATAGAGTCTTTTTAATTGATTCAATTATTTTATTTTCCCAAGTGCCATTTACAGGTAACACATTCATTAATGTAAAGTCAAATGCCACAGGTGGAAAGGATTGTAAAGACTCAGATCCAGGTATATTTTCAAGCAAATGAATCTCTTGGGGTGATAACACTTCAACATTGCCATAATCAATAAATTGCAAAACTACCATACCATCAGCACGTATGTTAATTACTTTAGCTCGATAATATCCATCATTTTGAAATCTAGCACAACAAAGAGCATTTATATGTAAATTAGCTGCCTGTGGTCCAATGCAGCCTTGACTTCTAGCAAATTGTTCAACTAAAGGTAAAATCATGCGTTCTACACATGTTGCAGAATTCTTGTCCACTTGACCCCAAATTTTGAGGAATGCATCCTCTGCTTCGACATGGGTCACAAAAATTATTAACTCTGTGCTTTGTTGTATGCTCATTGCGTTATATAATATGTGTCTTCTTATATGAAACACTAATCTCTATTTTACTACATAGATGAACTTGCAATCTGGAACACCAAGCTTTTGTTAGATACCACGCAAGTATTTTTGTTCAATCCTAACCGTTAACCAAAACTGGGCCACCTTAGCCGCGATTTATCAAATAATGCGACCGGAAGAACATGCGCTTACAGTTCTTTCTATTTTGATACACTCTATCTTAATTACATTATTTTACATTTGTTCCATTCTAATAATAGGCGTTATAAACAAATTCTATTATTTTTATCGTATTGTATCAAAATGTATCACGTAACTGTTTCATACTTTGCTAACGAAAATTATTTGATTGCTTAATCATTTGAATGTAATACAATGTGTTTACAACAAGAAATTTTACAGAATTTTTCTTAATAAACACTACCTCTTATTTTGTTTGGAATACTAAATGCGTACATTAGATATATTAGCTGAAAATGTACATACCTAAATCCAATATTCTTTACATGATACTGCGTATAAAAAAAATGTATGTCAACGTTGCAACTAGAAGTAACACAAAACTTATAAATAGTGCATCAAACACATTTCTTTTAATTCATTTCATTAGTAGTTAGTGAACTAATACTTTTTCTACAATACTCCTTTTTTGTAAATAATATTGGAATCTGGCGGTTGACCGGCTTTTTATCACCTACATGGAAGTTTCTTTGATCATAGTTTTGACATATTTTAATGGCGCGTAAATTTAATTTTTACATTTCAGAAAATATTTTTT